ACTATTTCTCTTCTATGTGATGCCAAATTCTACCATTGAAGGACGACTTGTGTGTGTGTGTGTGTGTGTGTGTGTGTGTGTGTGTGTGTGTGTGTGTGTGTGTGTGTGTGTGTGTGTGTGTGTGTGTGTGTGTGTGTGTGTGTGTGTGTGTGTGTGTGTGTGTGTGTGTGTGTGTGTGTGTGTGTGTGTGTGTGTGTGTGTGTGTGTGTGTGTGTAGTTGCTCGTTTACATACGTGTACAAGCGTGTGCGTATGTGTTTATACATGTGTATGTTGGTGAAATTTTATGTGAATCTGAACAATACAGATTTACATATCATAAAAGGGAAATCTTATCACCCTGTAACAGATAACCTGAATTATGTCAACAATGTATCGATGCACAAGAAGCTGTTCGGGACATCGTGATAGACTTATGACATCTTATGCAAATTTGTTATTATTATTATTTGTCTGTTCTTAAGTGTTGATGTGTTTTTTTTTTATATATATTACGCGTGCATGTGTTGATTATTATGACTGTCAAATTCTTTCAACACGCACGCACACACACACACACACACACACACACACACACACACACACACACACACACACACACACACACACAACACACACACACACACACACACACACACACCTCGTATATGTATGTATAAGAACACACACACACATATATACAGACATATATATATATATATATATATATATATATATATATATATATATATATATATATATATATATATATATATATATATATGTATATATACATATATGTGTGTGTGTGAATACACATATCTATTTCTAATCTATCTATCTATCTATCTATCTATCTATCTATCTATCTATCTATATATTTATATATGTATGTATGTATGTATGTATACACGTTAATGACAATAGTTATGATTCTAATAACAGTGATAGTCATGATGACAATGATGATGATAAGGATAATAATGCTAATGTTAATGATAATGCTAATGACAGTAACAATGATAATACTAATAATAAACGTGAAAATGATGATGATAATGATTATAATAATAATGGTAACAATAAAAATAATAGTAGTGATAATAATGATACTAATTTTGATAAGAAGAAAAGATAATTATAACAATAATAAAAATATTAATAATAATAATGTATCTTAACAGTAATTACAATAACAATAATGATGATGATCATAATGATAACAATAATAACAACCATGAGGAAAATTATGTTGATAGTGATGATAATATTGATAATGATAAGGATAATATTAATAATTATAATGATAACTGATAATGATAATGATGGTAATGAGACTGATAATTATAGTGAGGATGATGATGATGGTGATGGATGTAACAAATACATCTTATATCCTTTTAAACCCAAGGTTATTGGTATGTTTGCATAAGAGGGTAATACTTCTAATCGATCAAATGCGTTATCTTCATGGTTCTGAAGATAAAATCCTTAAACTTTGCTCCGGGCATGATACAGGAAGTTACATAATATAATTCTCTTTCGATTTACTCAACCTTTAAACAAACAAAAATGCGTAGAAATGGCGTATTATTCACGCATAATACGTCTCGGTTTCGGACTTGATAAATATCTTGCTCAGTCTATCAATGAATTCAATTGAAGTAAATGATATGTATCTTCTTAAATTTGGCTACGAATACTAGCAAGTATAATATCAGCCAATCAGAATTACTATTTTTCAAAACATAAATTTGATTGGTTCTTGCAGAAGCATCGTGTAAAATTCGTATCCCTAGATACAATAGAATGTTTGAGCACGTGCACCTTGAACCAATCAGAATTCAAGATTTCTAAACATCGTTTGAAAGCTCAAATTTGATTGGATTTCGGCAAAACGTCTTGGAGGACCTTTGGATCAGCTGGTAAACAAAAACAGAGTACGGCAGCAGAGAGAACCCCGAAAATCAGCTTTTCATAGTAATTTGAAGGGTTTGTTTTCTTTGCCAGAGTTAATTGAGGATGTCTTGAGATAGATAAGATATCTGTGATGTTGTTTAAATAGGATTTTGTAAAATATATGAATTATTTTTCAAATTTGACCAAAAAATGAGTGTTTCTCGGGGCCATCATAGATGACTGGGTGTTTTGAATTATATTTTTTTTATTGTTCATTGGTATGACAGTCTGTCGAATTACGTCGAACTGGCAATAAAGGTAATTCTCTGCTATATTCACTAAGACTTACTGATTGATTATGTTCATTTGATGTTGTACCAGACTCTTGCAAATGTAATTTAAGTAACATGGAACTTGTCAGCTTGATTTTAAGAACTTAGGTTTGCACTATTAAACCCTGAAGTATTTTTAAAAAGGAAAAAGGGATATTTTTTTAGTTTCACACAGTCATCTAACCTTACAATTATTATTCTTTCAGATAATTTTTCTTGACAGTTCTTGATAGATCAAACTGTTGGATTCCTCTCACTGTCTACAATGCAGATATGTAGGTTTTGTAGCAACAAACTTGGCCCCAATAACAGGTGATGGTAGGAAAGGTACCAGGGCCAGACTGTAGAGTATTTTTCTTGTGCGAGAATATTACATTTTTTCACGTACGGAAAACATCATTTGGTCTACATTTGCACGGAAATTTGACAATCCTTTTTCGAATACCTATCATGAAGATTGGGTTATTGTTGTAACAGGGGTTATTAATATTGTATTAGAACTCAGTTGTTAACAAAACTGACCTTTTGTGAAAACCATGAAATGCTTTGCAGCAGATTCCCGATGTAGTAAAATTGTATGCGTCCTGGGCGCATTGGCGTTCACTTTCACTTTCATATTTAAAGATTTGAATGAATGAACAGGTTGATTATGTGAAACTATTGTATATCTGTGCAGAGCTAATCTGCAGACAGATGATGAAACAAGTACGCGGAAAGGTCTAAAGAATTTTATGTGCAGAAAATGATTTAAAAAGAACTAAGCGTGTGCGGAAAGTTACCCGAGAACTACATTTGCGTGGACAGAATTTGACCAAATAATTCTACAATTTGGTACCAGGGGAATTGCGGGGTAAAATATGAATAACTTACACAAAATCAGTTACTATATTGTCTAATCCAGAGGGCTGTGCCCCCTACAACCCACCCATGGGAAAACAAAGAGTCCTCCACATATTCATGGCAGGAGTGAGTCAGATAGACTTGGCACTGATGCTGCTACATGGCAGTCATATGCTTTTTCCCAATCCAATAACCATATTTCTTAGCTCACACACACACACACACACACACACACACACACACACACACACACACACACACACACACACACACACACACACACACACACACACACACACACACACACACACACACACACACACACACACACACACACACACACACACACACACACACACACACACACACACTCACACACTCACACACTCACACACACTCACACACACTCACACACACTCACACACACTCACACACACTCACACTCACACACACTCACACACACTCACACACACACACACACACACACACACACACACACACACACACACACACACACACACACACACACACACACACACACACACACACACACACACACACACACACACACACACACACACACACACACACACTAAAGATTAACCTCTTTAACAAGAATCCAAACCTTAACAGTACAAGTATTACCTAATGAGAGTGATATTGAATTAATCCAAATCCTTGTCTGGGAAGATAATTACATTACTATGTCAGAGCTGTATTGTATTATTCCATATTGTATTTACACATTACATGAAATACACACATGCAGCCAAACCTTTATTCATATGCACACACACCAATACACATAGACACATATGCAGCTAAACCTTTATTCATGTGCACACACACCTATACACAGAGATGCACATATGCAGACGCACACAAACACTTGCTGAAGTACACTTGAGCATACATATACACATACGCATGTACATACACACACATGCACAAACTTAAAAAAAGGAAAAAAATGGATGAAAAAATAAAGAAACTATTTATTTGCCTTGAATTCATATCTCTTGATTATGAGTAAGAATAATTTTGTTCTGTTGTGGCATTTCAGAAAGATGGACCAGTGGATCAGGTTAAATGCAAGCACAGCCGGGAAGGACAAGATTTTCAGGTAGCAAGGATGCAGGTTGCTTATAGAAGCATATTGAAGGATTGTTTTTCGCTTGTTATGGCTTGCAGAAGGCGTGGATTTAAATGGAAGGGAGGTTTTTGTTCATATAGGGGAGACTAATTACATATAATGCATTATGTTGTCTTTTTCAAGTTGATTTGCATTAGTCAAGAGTTATATTAGTTTGGATTAAAGGAAATTGAATTTGATGATTTTTGTGTATATTTTTCCTAAAATGATATTAATATAGATTTTCTACTCATACAAAGAAACACTAGCTGATAGCTTTTCAAAATATAACTTGTATGATAGAATATTAATATAGATTATTAAATAAAAGAAAAAGCCCTGAAAACTGCACAGTAACTTTCATAATGATAGTTTTGGTTCATAAAAGCATGTTGATTCAGGTTAATGAAACTTAAGAGATTAATCGCATTTATAATTGCTATTCTCAGATTACTTCAGTACTTGAGTCGACTCGTCTGGCACAATCTAGAAAGCAGGAAGAATCTACGGGATGCTGTGGCTCGACTAAAGATCATAGAGAATGCCTTCTCGACCTTTAGGAAATGTGAGCATGCATGAGAACTTAGTCTGGGAATTTATATTATTAGAGATAAAGAACATTATGATGATTCAGATTATAAATTATTACTTTTTCAGCAGAATTTATGATCTGTTATGATTTTATTTATATTATTTTCTGTGGGATTTCGTAAGTAATATTTTTGTTAAGGATTGTTGTAAAATAGATATGTATAATTTGATAAGTAGGAAAGCAAAGCATTGATTAACCCATTGGCGCCGGGTGTCACGTACGTACATGCCATGGCTGTTGTGGACCAAACGCCGGGGGCATCATGCCATGCCCATTCCCGCGCTACTGGCTTGTCAGACGGAGGTTGTTTTTCTCCACTAGTAGTGGCTTCATTTATATGGTAAAGATTTTAGGCAATGGCACCTAAAGTGAAGGTAAACCTTCAAAATTTTAATATTTTTATAAATTTTAGAAAAATAAAAGCTTTTAGGTGCTATATGTCGCTCGCAAACTACAGATCGAGCCGGGCGCAAACAGGGGAAACTGCCAGTGCGTGCCAACAAGCCGGTGCATACGTAAACTTGACAAAATTTTTACCCGTCGCTGATGGGTTAACCCCTAAACGACAGCTTCATTTGTATTAGGGGCACATTGATGAAGCTTGAGTCTGTAAAATCATTTAATGTATTTGGCAGTTTCACAAGCATTGGGTTAGTTGTCTGGATGGGAAATAAGCTATCAGAAAGCATTCATTAAGTACATAAACTCTATATAATATCCTTTACCTGTTGCGAGCACCCACTATCAGTGCCCAAAGGCTGAGTCAGTGTGGCTCAGAACCCCAAAGCAAAAATGTCAGACTGACTTCTTTGTGACCTTTGACTTTACATGGTCACTTATAGTACCCTTTGACATGCATATCATCCATTATTTTTATTCTTTGCTATTGCTATTTTTATTGGGTAAGACATGTTATTTTTAGATGTAGATTTGTCAAAAATATACCCATTTACCAACCAGCTGTTCTAGTATGAAATAGATTAAATATTAATGATAACTCAAGTGAACTGGTATAGAATGGAAAAGAATATAGTATTTACTTTATGCATATATACTAGAAATGTTTTCAACAGACAAATAAAGGCATCCTTATCATTTCAGTATTGCGTCTGGGAAAAAGCATAGAGGTCCTTCATGGTGCCCTGCGTACATTGCATCTCCCAGATGTCGTTCTACGTGTTACACTAACATTATCAAGAATATACCAGTCCTTCTTCCTTCTGGTGGACCACATTATCTGGATTGGCCGTGTGGGCTTGTTTGACATCAACAAGGAGAAATGGTCTAGTTATTCAAATAGGTTCTGGTTAGGTGCAATTATTCTCAATATGATTAGGGATGTTTATGAGATTTTGACCATCATGAAGAAGCGGCTGAAGTGCGAGGACCTTCAGCCGTGTGTCTATAAGAACATCCCTGTTATCAAGACCTTCTATGAGTGTGTCCCAGCTACAAGACCTATTGTGCAGTTTGCTGAGGAACACCGTGATGTGTTCTGGGACAGTATCAAGAACCTGTGTGACATATGGATTCCACTGACTAGCCTAGGCCACACCAAGTTCTCGCCAGGCACTGTGGGGCTCCTTGGAAGCATCTCATCATTTGCAGGACTCATTGCTGTCTTAGATCCCCTGGCCAAGCTCACCCCTACATAATTTATAGTGCACCAGTGTAGAGCGGTCACAGGTAAGGTGTTTGGTGTGACTTTTATTCCTGGCTGATGAAGGTTCTTTGTAACTGCTGGAATGAATTTGGTTAGTGAGAGATGCTTTACGTTTTTGTACATTGATGTAGTAGATAGTTTTTATATTGATTTTATATGTATATTTTGTATGTGCAAATTTTATTTCAGGATTCTCAGGTAATCTTTTTCTGTTGACTGTTTTTCTTTTTTGAGAATGGGGTTTTGCCATCCTCCTCTTAAACAGGAATATATAATTGAATGTTATATATTGTATTTAAAATTAATTTATCAAATTTCCATTATAGTTTAAGGAATTGGTGACATTATCAGATTTGACCATAAAATTTGTAGTCATGTAAAAATTTCAGCCTGAAAACTCAAGGACAGAGTCTGCAATTACAGTTAGGACAATTATCAATACAGTCTCAAAAGTTGTGTGTATTCCTTTTGTGTGTACCCTACTCATTTTGAATCATCATTTATTACACTGAAGTAGGAAATGATGTTCTAGTTTAAGGTATTAGTATTATTACTCTACTTGGATAGTCTGGATAACCTTTGATATATAGAATAGTTATGTAAGTAGAGACTGTCCTACTTCTAGGGATATTGTGAATAGGAAAAGTGGCTTAAATATAATAAAAATATATTACTGTTCTCTGAATAGGCAACTGCATCATGAAATGAAGCAGATAGATTAAGTCTATATTAATGTGTATTCCTTTGATATGTAGCAGTGAATGAAATACCTAGCATGTTTTGATTTTTGTTTTTCATTACTCAGAGTTCTGATGTTATTAAATTTTAGATATGGTTTTCAGTTAGTAGCTCATGATGAAAGCTTATTTGAGGAAAAGGAAAAAGTTCTATGGAAATGGCATTGTGTATATATGTTCATGGAAATCTTATTTGAAGATATTGGTTAAGCATTGCCAAGAATATTACATATAAATGCAAATGGAAAAGTACTTTGAGTCTTAGTCTATAGAAGGAATTTTGTGCCAAGCTAAGAATTTGTTCATCTGAAGGCATTTGAATAATCATAAAAATAAAAGCTCAGTTGAAGACATTCAGCCTTTTTTATATGGAAAACTACTTTATATGGATTTAATGTAATAGGAGGTACAATGTATTATATTCTTAATTGAAAAGGGTTATGCTTTAGTCAGTTTATAGCATTGTGCCTTGTTTTGTAGTTTATTTGTTATTTTTATGTATATTTTATGTTGATTTTTATTTACAGGGTAGCAGGTGATATATTACTAAATTACAAGCCCTTGGTATAGGTGTCATGATAATTTTGAAATATAACATGGAACAATGAAAGTAACAAAGATAAGATTATTGAGTAACCGAAAGTTAAGACAGAAAAGTGCAATTAGATTATAGAGGCAAGTGTTATTGCTGTAACAAGGTGCTAAATTGTATTTGATGTTTTATTTACTCTCATTTTCAAGTTTACTGAAGTCATGCTAATTTAGGTTCTTAAGATTCCTCCAGTAAAAGCCAAAGTATCAATATCTCTGGGAATTTTGTTACTCACTGATGGATTGATATGATAATAGAAATATCCAGATTCAATATAGGTTAAACCATGAGAGTCTGGCAGGTTTGGGACCAGACAGGTGCTGGGGTAACAAATTTTTGGAACCAAGTTTAGGGTAAAAAGAAAAGTTAAAAAGTGCTTACATTGTACTGTAATACTGATACAGATACAGCTTACATAGGCATAAACCTAGTTCAGTCTGACTGGATATCTTCACATTGGCTGTGATAAAAGTAGGGAATATTGGGCAAGGGTGGTGCTGCAACTGGTCCAAATCTGCCTGTATGCATCATAGCCACAAACATGCCCCTTGTTTGATGATGAATGTTAGTTTATCAGCTATGTAGTGGTCATGGAGTGCCAGATACATATCACTGTCTTGAACCTCCGCAATTGCCGACCAGTCAATAGTGTACTAATGAACTACAACCTGAATTAGATTTATAGCCTTGCTATTTGATTAAAAAAGAAAAATCGCAATAATTTAAGCATTGAATTAATTTCTCTGATGCAGTATAGCTTGTATATATATATATATATATATATATATATATATATATATATATATATATATATATATATATATATATATATAATATATATATATACATACATACATATATATATACACAACTCTGTGGGATATGTATGTCTCTGTGTGTGGGATTGTGTGCGTGTGATAACAATGATAAGAGAGTGAGAATGAGAATGAGTGTGAGCATGAGTGCGAGGGTGAGTTTGAGGATGAGTGCGAGAGTGAGAGTGAGAGCGAGAGTGAGAGCAAGAGTGAGAGAAGAGTGAGAGCAAGAGTGAGAGCGAGAGTGAGAGTGAGAGAGAGTGAGAGCGAGAGTGAGAGCGAGAGTGAGAGCGAGAGTGAGAGCGAGAGTGAGAGCGAGAGGGAGAGTGAGAGCGAGAGTGAGAGCGAGAGTGAGAGCGAGAGTGAGAGAGAGAGAGAGAGTGAGAGTGATAGTGAGAGCGATAGAGCGATAGTGAGAGCGATAGTGAGAGCGAGAGTGAGAGTGAGTGAGTGCGAGAGTGAGTGAGTGCGAGAGTTAGTGTGAGATTGTGTGTGTGAGATTGTGTGTGTGAGTTGTGTGTGTGAGATTGTGTGTGAGATGTGTGTGTGAGATTGTGTGTGTGAGATTGTGTGTGTGAGATTGGTGTGTGAGATTGTGTGTGTGAGATTGTGTGTGTGAGATTGTGTGTGTGAGATTGTGTGTGTGGAGATTGTGTGTGTTGTGTGTGTGAGATTGTGTGTGTGAGATTGTGTGTGTGTGTGTGTGTGTGTGTGTGTGTGTGTGTGTGTGTGTGTGTGTGTGTGTGTGTGTGTGTGTGTGTGTGTGTGTGTGGTGTGTGTGTGTGTGTGTGTGTGTGTGTGTGTGTGTGCATTTTATTTTTGTTGTTTTTTTTGTTCAGTTTGGTTTACTTTTTTGCTTGTTTTGAGGAGTTAGAATTTAAAGTGGTTTATGCAGGTATGGTAAAAAGTATTAGCTCATTTATGTGTAGTCCTCTTGCAAGAATGTAACAGTATTGAAGTTTGAATGAAGTTGATTTTAAGTAGTGTCACAAAATGCTACAGGATTTGTTCAATGTCAAAATGGTATGCTTATGGAATGATACTGGTCTTCAGATTTAAATAGACAGAGAAGTGAGTTGAAAGTTGTATCACATTGGAATGTAATGTCAGTTTGATGAACTTGTTCACTAAAGTCTAACTTTTAAATTTCTCATGATGATTGTTGTGGTATTTTTGTTTACATTTGTGATACATAAAATACCTTGGTTCGATTATTTACCCTATGGCTGTGGGATTATGTGCTGCCCACTTTAATCTTTTGTGAATTTTATTGCACACATGATGGCTCTACAAATACTCAGCCACCAGTAGTAGGCCAGGTGACTACACCTGATTTCCTCATTCTTTGAAATGGAGAATTTTTTCTAATGCTATAAATATCGATACTGTTGATATTGTTATTGGCATTATGGTTATTGTAATGTTATTAAAATAAAACAATAAAAGTAGTAAAACAATATAAAAGGATCTTTCTGGAAATCAAGGTAAAGTGTTAGATATGTAGTAATTGACTCCTTGGTGACTAAATGCTTGTGGAGCCATCTGTGCAAACCTAATTGATAAACTAAAATTACTTGTAGACATGTCATGTAATTAAACCATCCACTTCTGGTGGTTTATACTCATTTTGTGTTAGTGTTTTGGTTATGAATTTATATTTTACAGCTGAATTAAATAGCATTATACAGGAACAATCCCTCCCCTCATGATAGTGAATTGTGATTTTTTTTTTCATTTTCTTTTTTAGTCACATTCTAATTGGATGAATATAGTGTGAATGTAGGAGAACTTCCATTTCATTTACTGTAATAAGGGTATGAATGTAACAAAGTGAAATAAATGTTATGAAACATATATTTTTTTCTTTTATGTCTTTATGTATAGTGAATATGTATGATTGATCACCACACAAGGAAAGCACACAAAATGGCAGTCATTTTTTCTGACTTGGAGGAACACTTTTCCATTATTTCCAGGGTATTTTTATAGTTATTATTGATATTGGCATTATTATTATTGTTATTATCATTATCATCATTATCATTATCATTATTCATATTATTTTGATGGTTACAGTAATAATAATGAAAGTAATGATAACAATAACAATAACAATTATTAAAACTGTTATAATAATTGTTGTCATTGATGTAGATATATTTATTATTGTAATCATCACGTATCACCATCATCATCATGATTCATCATTTTTATTAATTAAGTTATTTATTTTTGAGAAAGATATTTACTTGAAAATAATCCATATGATAACAAGACCATATATGCTGGTTTATTATAATTAATATTCTTGCAATTATTTGCAATTTTAGTAATAATCAGAATATCTCTTGAGTTTTGTTTACCTTGAAGTCTTGGCATTGTTGAATATAAGTAACTTTATAAGGCTTTGCTGCATCTAATAAATTTATAAAAAAGATAGATAAAATAATGGTTAAATCAGTAAATATCCATTGGTAAAAGGAAATAATAATAAATATGATTAAAAAAGTAAATTGTTATTGAAAAAAATTAAATTGTAAGAAGTTATTATATTAACAGGTTTCATTTGTACAGAAATTTACAAAATGACACATTAAGTTTGCTATAACAATACTGCCCCCCCCCCCCCCCACACACACACACACTCTCTCTCTCTCTCTCTATTCACCTGTTCTATCTGGTGGAATTTGTGTGTACTAGTACAAAAGGAAATTGTCCCAATATTTAAAAAAATCAGCAAACTGTAATATTTTGAGTCAGGCAGCCATCATCACTGCAGTTATCTTGATCTTACTGTTATGTAGCATCTAGTTTCCTATATAATCATGTCTGTCTTCTTTTATCTTTGTATTCATATTACAGTGTTTGTAGTTTTTATTGTCACCTCATGTTCACCAGGGCTCTAATGAAAGAATCATTTGCACATACAACAGATGGGGAATAATTAAAGTATTAATCATATCTCTGTGAATTTTTGTTTGGAAATAGTTGGCATATAATTTGAATGCCTCTGACAAGGAATTTGCAATATGTTCAGTAGTTATATATACTTTTCATGGAGGTAAAAATATCATGTGAAACTTTAGTTAACTGAATGACATACTGATTGTTGTATTTCACATCTTCATTATTACTAAACTGGTAATTATCTAACATTATAATTCTGTGTGGATTGTGTTTACATATAATGAAAAGGTTTAATCTTGTAGATATTTTCTGATTATCATACACAGTAAATATTATAAGATGAAATATAGAGTCTGAGAATATGTGACATACCTATGAGTAAAATAGAGCATAGCAAGTTCAAGCTCATTGTCAATATGGAATTAAGCAAGAATCCAAAAGCAATATATATTGTCACATGCCCACTTATACACATACATGCAAGGACAAACACACACACTTGATAGACTGATAGACACACACATCACATTGTACACTTCTATGGAAAGTTTTAAAAATTTTTAAAAACTTTTTGAATGACCAATGTATACATATTTTGAAGTCTATAAAAGATTAAAATGCAATGCATACTATGCATAACAAAGTATGTATAAAGAAATGGAATAATGAAAACAAGCTTATCTCTCAACATTTTACTTATAACAGTTACATTTATTGCTGTGAGTGATTGTTCTTGAATAATTAATCTGCCTTTTTTTATGTACACACAACTGAAAAACTTCCTCAGTAAGAATCCTATACCTTAAATAGGGCGGAAAATTAAAGCGTGTCATGTTTTTATGCAACAGTTATAACCTTGCGTCCCTCCCTCCACCAAACGCAACCGGACTATGACCCCAGGCCATTATATTTGTCGAAGCTTGGAAATCTCAATCTACATAATTATATTTTTTTGATCACAACACTGAACACTGATTAGGTGATATGTACCTCAGCCGCACAAAAAAATCATC